ACTGTTACTGCAGTGAAAAGAAAGAAGGGAAAAAGGGGGTTTGTTGTGCTTCCCACTGTCCTTTTTCGAAACTTTGCAGACCCTACTGTGTTCAAGTTGAAACTGGGCTCTGGAAACCTTAGATGACCAAACCACACCCTTACCTAATTATGTTGAGGTGACCCATCTCTACTCACAGAAGAGAGGCACCGTCCACTGCAGACATCAGCCCTCCCGACACCGTGGACTACACAGTGTCCAGCTGCGCTCTGGAACCTTTTGATTTCCAAAATATAACAGCAACTTTAACCCCATTATTAAATGCTGTTATGATTATACCAAAGGGATCCAACGATGTCCTCAGCAGCATAAAGGGCACTAGTGAATATTGCTATCAGATCTCTTATTTACCCTGAAGCCCCAGACTATCCAGCAAATATACTGGACTTTTGAAACTTGGGATTCTCAAATGCTAACCTTAAGGCCAAGGACATGTTTCAGCCTACTGTAGAAATGAACATACAGCACTGGCACCTATAAAGAGCAGAGCTCTTCTTAGGTCCATATTCCCAGCAATATTCAGTAGCATGTTTGATTCTTCAAGTTTTGATTCTTAAACGCTAACCCTGACCTGACATACAACTGAGCAATTGGCCTTTAAAAAGAAAATTGCAACACTGATACTTGCTGGCACAAGCGGGCCTTTTAACATTCAGCATTAAAATCAGTTCTTGAAACTCCTAGATCTCAAAGCCTAAATGTCACCTTAATTTAAACCAAGGGACCTCTGTGTACAGGAGAAGACCACACAAAGAATTGGCTCCCATCTGCATCAGGCTGTCTGCTCATTCCTAACCCAACCCTAACTGTTGCCTTGTTATGACTACCTATGGACCCCCATCTCCTAATGTTCTTGGCCAGCAGCATGTGGTAAATAATACAGATCTTGCACATTGGTCACACCCATACCTTCCCTATAGTAGAACAGAAAATAAAGTATCTTCAAATATTGCCAGCAGCAATTTATGTTCTTCAAGATCTACAGTTCCAAACTCTACCCGCTAACCCTATTCCTCATTCTAACCTTCATCTTAGTAGTAACAAATGGCTCATACTTTCAAGAAATGAGAGAATACTTTGACCCCCACTTCGTCAGGGCCTGCAGAGCCCTGCAATGAAGGCAGCTTCCAGTGATAAGTTTGGTTCCTGCCATCCCCAAGTCTACTATAAACTGAACCTTGACAGTTTCTCTACTTAAAACCTGCAGCTCATTTCTATTGTAGCTTATAAAGCACTAGCTCCAACTGACACAAGCTTTCTTCCTAGCTGCAGTCCCTACAACATCCTGCAATAATCTAAGTCCTTCAGGCTTTGAACTCCCAGTCCTGGCTCTGGCTGTAGCATCAGCGTAATTATAACCAGAAGACCATGCCTTCAGAGAAAGATAACATAAAGTATGGCCCCTATGCAAGACCCATTGATGCCCTAAATCTGCAAGCCCTAGAGCATTCAGCAATAATCATAGTTCCTTGAGGTTCAGATTTCTGAATCTTAACCATGATCTTTACTTTAATCAAGGAATTAATCTTTACAGCTAAAGAACATAAAATGTATTGACTTTCTCACTCTTATCTCCATGAGCCCAATAGTCTCTTCATTCCCTTTAGATAGCTGTAGGGGATATAGCAATATAATTTCGCTTTGAAGATCCAGTTAGATGGCATTCTTCTCCTTGCATAAATGTTTGTGATTTACCTTCCTACTCAGAGTTTTAATCAGTTCCTGGTTATTGGCAGGGGTGCCTGTTGGCACTCGAATCTTCTTCCTCCCTTTTCTGCAGACCTCGACTCTGTACTTGTCAATAAAGAAATAAGAAGGTGGCCAGACAGGCTCCTGCAGCTTGTGCCTTCTGGGCAAGGTTTGAGGAGAGTACAGCATCGAGGGAAAATGTGGTAGCCTCTCCAGCTGCTCCCACTTTGGGGATCTTGAACAGCTGGAGAAGTGCCCACTTGTGGACCCTTCTGTGAGCCTTCCTCCCAGCCTCGTCTCCTTTTCTGCCCTCTCCGGCCTCTTCTCAGACAGCAGGGCAGAACCTACCCAGCCATTAGCAGGATCAGGGGAGCAGGCTGCCTTTGCCCTGTCTGTACTCTGCGTGGGGGAGCGTGACACTGGCAGCAGCTGATGGTAGAGCAGTAGAGGCTGTCAGCTGTCTCCATCTCCAGGTGGGAGGGAGGGGGAGAGCAGCAGCCTAGCTGGGTTGGGAAAACGCTTTCCCTCCGGATGTGTAAGTCCAGGCAGGGCCCCGTGCAAACACAGCTAATTATCTCAATGTCTCTCACTCGCACAGATCTGTGCTGTGCGCTGTTTGAGCTTATCATAAAAGACGCAGTTGCTCCACATGCTCTGCAAATCGCTCCCAGTACCTATCTTCGCTTTCACCTCCTTGCAATGTGACTTTAAGCCTTCCTTCAGCCCAGCTATTTATTACCTCAGGCACTCCTGGCACTTCTCCGAGGTCTCACTAAGACCAGAGTTTTGCCCAATACTGTACCCACGATCCCTCCTCCCTCCTGTCCCCTAAATTTGACAGTAACGTAGAGCTCAGGTCTTTCAAGCACCTTGTTTCAGAAGAGATCCCAAACCTGATACATTCCTTCCCAGAGTCTCAGGCCAAGTGTGCCTGCAGCCCCATCTCCTTCATTAAGCTCAAATGCTGTGTGAGCTATGAGACTAAGCGTATAGGAAAGTGTAGTCTTACCTCTTGCTTAGAAATAAAATGAATGTGGTACCAATTCACCCAGTTTTGTGTTCTGTTAGACCCGTTTTGTAGTTTAACCTGACATCAGCTCACAGAGCAGCGAGTTGAGCGCAAAGCTGCGTCTCCTTTGTAACTTCATTTTAAAAGGTTTTCCCTAGGAGACAATACCTGCACTTATGCCCTTTCTCTTTTTTTTGCAAATTCTTCTCTTTCCTCAGTAATTCTAGTAATGCCTCATGTGAGATATGTCATCACACTCTGCTGAACACTTTGAAGCAAAGGGAAGACCCAGACAGGCACGTTTTTTCTGTGTACTGGAGTATAGGCTTGCATTACAGACATACATGCGTTGTCTTCTGCTTTAGCAGTCAGTTTTGCAGAGACAAGTCTGCTGGCTGTTTATTTCCTCGAATAGTGAATTTGGAACAAAGACGATCAGATCTCAGAGGTGCTGCTCAGCCCCAGGTACAGCAGTGATGGCCACAGTAAGTCTGACACATGAAGCGTGTGCAGCACTCATGAAGCATGGAGGAGACAGGGTCCTTTTACCTCCACACTCAGTATGCCCCCGAGGATGCTGGCCATCGGTTAGCCGAGACAAACATGGACAATTCATTAGTCACCTGAGTTTTAAGATGCAGAATCATACTCTTCCCTCTGTCCAACAGATTAGAAACTTCTACCCTCCAAAGACACTATGTGTGGGTGTTTAAACACACTGCTTTGTTCTGACACTGAATCCTTAGGATGGGGCATGTGCTAAAAACCCCAGACTGTGAGACATGTCAGAGCTACCAGTTTGCTCATGGTAGAAGTAAAGGGAGAAGCAGAAGGAGAATGGCTTGTCTTCCTCCGAAAATAAAAAAAGATACTAAAATACTGTTTTTGCCTTAAAAAAATAACTCATTACTGAACTGACCAGAAAAAACAGTGAAAATCATTGAGAGTCAAATGTCTGCGTTCAAGGGAGTGGAAAAGTGCTCCAACGGCATTGATTCTTGGAAATTGATTGGATTGATATTGCGATTCGTTGCTTGCTTGAAGTTGTACACAGAGGTGGTTCAGGGTGGTCGCAGAAAATAAACGTGTGCATGGGCTTGGCTGTGGTAGTACAGGCATCCAAGGGCCAGTCTGAAACTGCTGACATTCAGTAAAACTGTTCTAAGTTTTCCAAGTAGGAAAGTTTCCAGCAATGTCAGGATGGTAATTAGCGATTGATTTTCATTTGGCAGCTTACTATGTGGTCAGAGTGACAGACACCAGAACTCTTTAACACATTTAATGGGATTTTTCCTTCCATTTACACTATCATAAATTACAAAGCATATTTCACTTCACAAAATAAAACCATTTCCAGATCATTTTTATGACAGTATTAAGTAGTACATAACCTACAACAAATAGTCCTGTACAAGGCAGGAGGATCTATGGAAGTATTGGGAACTCAGACTATTTAGCATTTGCTCTGCAATCTGGGTTAATCTATCTAGCCCTTAGTTATTTCTCTAGGAGACGACAAATTTACAGTCATACCCTCCACCTCCCTTCATTATCATAGTTACACATATTTTTCAATTTGAATAGAAACGTGTGCTCCCTGAAATAATTCAGGAAACTGCATCACTGAGTTACCAAGCATATGATACAAACGATCAAGATGAGGGATTGTTACAATTTTTTTTGTACTGAAAATTGAGTTTGGTAGTAAACTATGTTGATTTTCTATGCTCACAGAAATATCTCATGCTGAGAAACAGTTTTAACATTAGGAATAAGTTGCAGTTAGACTATAAACTCTGTAGGTCAATGTTTGTGAGGGGAGAAAAATATTAAAATTTGGTAATAATTAAATTTACCAACTCCCACATTTCCTACACATTCTTTCTTTTCTTTTCTTTTCTTTTTTTTTAAACAAACCATCAGGAAACACATTCAAGATAAATACCTACATTTTTAGCAGATTTACTGTACGTTTATAAATACAGAAACATGACAAAACATAACTTGATTTTTACAGAAAAAACAAATCCTTCATATTTAACCCAAAAAAGTGCTAACTTTTCAACAAGGCCAGAAAATATCCAGTGTCCCAGCATCACTTAACTCACATATTACTGTAATCCAAGAAAAAATCTGGCATATGAAACTGATAATACCACCAGGACTTGAAAAATTCTCAATACTATATTTTGCATGGGAGTTTTTATAGAAAAAAAAAAAAAAAGAGAGAAAATGCTATATGTTTTGGGAAATATCAAATGGCTAAAAGTGTACAATCCTAGGATGCTAGTGCTTAAATGCAAAGAAACCTAAGGAAAGCTGGAATACACACAAGAAAAGAATTCTCTTAAAACACTTGCAATGAAAGAGGTATGTCAGGATAATACTGCATTAGTGGTAATTGTTTTCAATATATCATAGCAAAAATGCAGGAAAGAATTACATGGAAAATAATCAATGCACCGCATTGATTTATAGTTTGCTAAAATAAAATGCCATTCTTTCAGCTAGGTAAAGTAAAAATATCTTTATAATATAGGTTCTGTTTCACAATTGACATATATAATTATGTCTCATGGTGAGAGAAATGTATAGGCGTATACAAGCAACACTGATTAAGTACCTTTTTGCTTCTCTAGCCGTATTAAAATACGTTTTGTGTTTCTTAATAAGTTAACAATAAAATTGTTTGCAACTTCTCAAAACAAATATACATCTGAGGCAAGGCAAAAGATACAAGGTAAAAGGATTTTTTCTGACCTTTTTTTCCCTTCTACAAAGAGGCATATGTCTATGAGACATAGGCTTTCCCTAAACATTTTGGCATCCATCTGCAACTTTGCAGAAATTGAAGTGCAGTCAAGGAACTTTTCCTTTATGTTTAAAAAAATTTAAAGAAATGTTGTTTTTTCCTTCAAACTAATTAATTTAAAACACATGGCTTTGAAGATATGCCTCTCTGTCTAAAAGAGAACATCTTCATTTTCTATTAAAATCTGCACAATTAACTTCTGGTACCGCATGTCATTCAGCGTAGCAAGGGTACTGTCCTCTGGAGGTCTCATTAAAGTAGGCCCAAACACTATTCCCAGGTTTTCAGCATTCATAAAGTTCTCCTTTTCATGCAAGGTAACCCTAAAATAGAAAAAAAAAGTATAAAAAAACCCCCAAAGTAAGTAGTTGTTTACTTCCCAAAAGAAAAGAATATATACATCTGAAGCTGTAGTCCCATTTCACATCAGGCATTGGTAACTAATGACATTTTTCAGTAACAATTTTTACATTTAATCAATATAGTAACTGTTTCCACAGCAAGTACAATGCAACTACGGTGGGGCTATGATTTCCACTGCCTTTAAACACCTCTCATGCGACTCTTAAGTGATTTTTCCATGTAGCTATCCGTTAGGGTATAAAAAGTAGTGGCAATTGCTTTTTTGAAAAGCATAATCATGATTTAAATGATGATATATGGAGCAGTCCCCTACACTACAGTAACTACAGTTCTCTGGCACGTTGTGTGTGCATCACACTGGGTGTGGGTGTGCTTTCCGAATACAAACCCAGATTTTCTTTTGATTACCAGTGCCCCCCACACTCCCAGACATGTTTCCAGCCTGCAGGAACCCACCCCTTCACGCTTCAGGAGTAGGCTGAATGCTGGAGCAGCATGGAGAGGCGGCTTGTTAAAATCAGGCTGCTACAAATGCCATCTATCCTTGACAGAGAACAAGGATATATAATGTAAATACAAGAATACGTAGACTACGTGTGGCTGGAGCATACAAAGACTACCAAGGACTGTCCAAGCAGCAAAGTCAACCTTGACTGGAAAATCAGCCAGGCCTGCTGGAAAATGCAAGGTGTGCTCAAGGTTTTCCTCCAGGTAATAGAGCTGGATCACATCGGTGTTGTCCCAGCAAGCCTTTGGCATTTGAGTTTGGTCCCAAGAGTGCCCTTGCACTGCAGTGTAGAGTCAGCCATGGTCCCTTCATCGGTCACGGTCCCTCATGGACCAGACACTCGCTGTTACTAAGTACAGCATGGGTGTAGTTTCACATCTCCTCCATGCACAACTCCTCTGCCAGGGTGGAACACATCTGGTTTTGGAGCCAGCTCTCCCGGCAACAGCTGAGACTGCCCCTGGCCATGGCAATTCCCAGCTGGGCAGCAGTGGATTCACTCATGCCATGGGCGAAGCACAAAGAGGCTGAAACCAGAAGTAATGTGGTCTTCCCTTGTTTGCAAGGTCCTTGTATGACTAGGTTTTTCTTCTACTATTGGCTCTCTGCAGAGTGGCTCTGTCACAGAAAAACACTGTTCCTCTTTGCTTTCAGCACAGCAGTCCCTTAGGGCCCCTACTCACAGATACGTCCTCATCTTCTAGCACACGTATGTTAGCTGTACTTTGCAAGGAGAAAGGACAAACCAAGTCTGCCTAGCCCAACCCACCTCTGTGCAAGTGTATGTGTAACACTCCGCTTTCCACCTGTGGATGTATGCAGCACAGATGTTGAACAGCTATGCAGTGCCACATGCATCTTAGTAGCACCTCTCTGCAGGAGCGTGGGGCTTGCTGCATGGCCTGGGGTGAGCACAGAAAAGATTCACAGCTTCACTGCGACGTCAGCATGGATGGAGTTGTATGTATTTCACCACAGGGGGGACTGCTCATGCTATTGTATTTCCTCCAATTTTGAGCAAAAATTTATCTGAGAGATAACTGAAGAAATTAATTAATTGACTGACAAACTAATTTTTCATTGCTGACATTGCCCTCTGCTGGATTCTCCTGCACTTTTAACAACAACTCAGTGCAGTTTCTTTTCTGTTGAGAAACAAACAGCGCTGGTGCAGAAGCTGTGATCCTGCAGTCTTTACACAGACTCCTTGACACCGCTGCATGTTTCCTCTATGCAGGAGGAGCCCTGTGGGGCTGGAGTTGGGCCTCTTATGTTTAATCTACAGAACAACACAGTCTGAACCTAAAGGATCCTTCCCGCTTTCACATTCAGAGCTCTCCAGCAGATTCTCCATAAGAACTGACATGCCCTTGATTTCCGTGCAGACACTGAAAGCTACGATTTGGGAAAAGAGAGGAAATTCATTGTGTGACTTGCAGGTATTTGAGAGAGAAAACTTCATCAGCTGTTTGGACTATTTTTGTCTCATCAGTAGTTCAGCTCAACAGCTGAACCAAAGCCTGTATTGCAGTTCATAAAAAAGAAGGCAAGCAAGTCAATACTTGTCTGTTAAAAATTTGCTGCTGGGACATGAAAGTACGGATTCTGTATGCAAGTTGCTTGTCTACAGCCTCCATGGGCCTTCTTAAAAGCCAGCCTGGTTCATCCTGCATTGTCCATGCATGTGTGCTGACAAGGGTGGTTGTTTGCACATCTCATTTCTGCTGATTCTGAAGCAGCTTCTGCATGCCCAGTTAAAGTCTCATCGAAAGGAAAAATTACCCAGTTGTAATAACCTGAGCCGATTCAAAATGAAGAAAAGTCTCTACATAATGAGAACCTGACTGAGCATGAAATGCACTTCACACAAGCTCTTGAGTTGAGGTCTTTTTAAGTTGGCATTAATAGTGCAGAATAGTGCAGATCAAACCCAGAAAATACTCCAAATTTGCAACTGTGTTGCAAGTAGTGGGACAACTAACAAGAGATCAAGGATTTGCTGTATAAAACCTGAGTAGTTTTATTCCTCCCTTATCCCCTTTTCTCTTGTTTCCAAGTAGCACCATAAACTTTAGCCAGAGACGAGGGACATCTTGGGCAATATATCCTTAAATGAAGGCCTGCTTTGAGATGACAGTACCAGTCTTTACTTAGCTTCAAGTTTTTAAAAACTTACAAAGACGACTTCCTGAGGCATGTGAATACCCAAAGTAGCAAAGTGGAGTTAGCACGGTTTGGGGGAAAAAATAAAAAAAATTTGCTTGAAATTAGTGAAAGCGAGGCACCCTCTTTGAAGCACTTCATAATTTTCCTAGGTACCTAGCTGAAAACTTGGAAAGCTTGGCAGTACACTCCCAAGTCACTTTCAAAAATGAAATTTAGGCACTTTTGAAAATTTTGCATGCCTTATGAAGCCTTATGTATGTCTTATGTATGCCTTATGTATGCCTAAAGAAGCTTTGGAAAGCAAATGAGGCAGAGTGAGTTTAAAACCAAAAGAGATATAACTGGTAACGGCCTATATTCCTTTTACTAGTTGTATAAAAATAGGTCCTGCTTGATTCTTGGCTTAACTGTGATGTGAGCAAACAACTCATAAGAGACAGCTCTTTCCTTTTAGGGTTATCGTTCAGGAAGACAAATCGGGAGGTAAAGGGAGGCAGAAGCAAAGCATGATCAAGTGACTTGCTGCAGCACATCTAGCACATCTCTAAAGTACCTACCATTCTGGTATTTTTCAGATATTATCTGCCTCAGAGAACCGTGGCAAATCTCAATTAATTCTTCAAAGGCTTGCAATGATCTGCCAGCAAAAGGATCTGTACTATATATGGGCATAGCTTATATGCATTTATACAAACATAGCTTGCCTTTTTATTTGTAACATTATTGTTTTAGTGGCAGTGCCCTAATGGAAGCTTTATTGGCACTTTCAGCAATCTCTTTCAAAGCAGAAAATTGTTAAGCTCTTCAAGAATTATCCTACATGCCAATTAACTCACTTTTTGAGATGAATCATTAGGTATCTAAGTGTCTCGTAGTGAGCAGCAGGGAGTAACATCAACACTTCATGTATTGCTTCTAGTCGTTCATCAGGATTGGAGATTTCTGTAAAAACACCAAACAGGATTAATGTTAATAGGGCTTTCTATTTGTAAACGCTAATAATTCAGGAAGCTAAGTTATTATTATGGAGTCATTTACAAGCCATTGACTGTGCTTGGAGGGTTAAATGCTAAACTCATAAACATGGAGCTTATCAGCAACTTCTGATTGCTGATAAAAAAAGGCTTTACAAAGAAATCAGCAACAAAGACCACCCAGTAGTCGTCTCTGGGGTCTGTCACTCTATCTACAGGCCTGTGTAGGTATGGTATCCTAGCTTCATTAAGTGCTTCCTAATACCTTGCCTGGAACTGACTCTTTAAAATCTTATGTAAGATTACTTCCATTAGCCTTCAACACCAGATGGGAGTGTGGGTATATGCTTTAAAACCTGTGCTTGAATATGTAAGTTTAGCTAGAGGTTGAAATGACATGGAATTACATAAACAAAGATTTCTGAACATCTGTAAATACATAGGTATCAGTGATCAGAAAGCATCAGTACTCATTTGGCAATCTCTCAAAAAATCTGAGCAGGATTTACATGTATTTTACAGGAAAAGTATGGATTCCTAAGCTGTGAACTGAGTCACAGTCTTATTTGCT